TTGCATAAAGATTTGTCGCCAATCCTCATCAAAGTATGCAAAAATTTTATGTAGTCTAAGATGCAAGCCTAAGTTGTCTCCAATGACTTTGGTTGAAAATGTGCATTAAACATGTTATGAACATTCACTATGAAAACAAGTAAAAAAGGGGTTTGTTTGATTTTCAGATTCAATAAAGGGAGCAAGAAACAAAATGGTAAAATTCAATCAATAAAGTGTAGCAATCCTTAGTTCATTCACGTGATTCTATTCTCATTCCTCTCAACATTTAACACTCTTCCTCTTCCTCTGAATTAGATTAATTCAACAAGCAAGAATCAACCTTAAAACCCCACATGAATTTAAGCAAATTCAATGGACTCCAACCCCTTTTCCCAAGATTATGCAACCTTAGAAATTAACTCATAATTAAGCAAACCAAGTTAAGAATCTCATTAAAATGAATTAGGGTTAATTAAGCATTGTCCTCCTCATTCAACCATTAATTTAATTCAAAGGATAGGAAAAAGAAATTCATGAAGGAAAAGGGATTATATTAACATTAATAACCCAGGAATTCAAAAATCCAAGTGAACTCACTAAGGATTACAAAAGATTTAGCCCACCATGAGGATGGATCTCACAAATACAAGATGAAAACAAAGAGAATTCAATAACATAAATGTAAAAATCAAAGGAAAGTAAAGAGAAATTGTGAATCAAATCTTAGGTTGAGTCCTTGAATGTCACCCAAGGCTGACCTAAGCTCTGCAAGTGTTCCCAAAAATGGCAAAAATCTAAAAGCATAAAAAGGTCTCTAACCATAATTTTCAAAATCTATTTATAGTGAAGTGGTCATCGCCCATAGTAGTTACTATGAAAATGATAGTAGCTACACACAGCCTCCCAGTCTTGTCATTCCTCTATGGAATTGTCACTATGGGATCTGATAGTGGCTACGTGTTACTCTCAATATAAGTAATTTTGACTGGCAAGCGTACTGGTGTTATTGTAGCAAGTTATAAAATTTTTAGAACTATGTTTGAGTCCCAAATATCATCCTCAGGGAATAGAATTCTCAAATATCACTTCACAAGTCTACAATTAGTTAAGCCTAAAGCAATTCATTTGGAATTTGTAATGTTTGAAAGCAATTAAACCAGTAAAGAATGCAGAAATTGCAGCAGAGTAAAAGATATGAATTTCTATATGGAAACAAATGTATGAAACATAGTTAGGGTTTACTTCACCGAAACTTCAATGTTAATTCAATCAAGTTTTGAACTTTCAAGCATTTGGATTGAATGACAATCAGTTTCACGATGTGTTAATCAAAGGTTATTTCTTTAACTCAATGAATCTAATATTCAATTTAATCATTCTAATTCCTTAGATCTGGTTCAATTAAATGTTGCATTAAGCATTAGAAATCAAAAGATTGCAAGGTTACGATGTCTTATTCCTAAGAAATCAATAATCTTGGTAATTGATTCAGATATGAGAAACAAATTTAACTTCCATTGATAAAAGCTTCTCTGTGATTAGTTAATCAAATTTTCATTCAATAACTACTTGAAAAGCAGAATCAATTCTCAATCCAATCCAGCACTCAAAGTTCAAATCCGAAATCAATTTAACACTTCCATTTCAGATCCATAAATCCCTGACTACAAAGAGTTTAGAACTCCATTACAAAATGAAAAGAGAAAGAAAGAGAAGAAGAAGATGAACGAAGAAGCATCTTCAAGCCAATCTTCAATTTGATTCCTCAAGATTTGAAACTTGGTGTTTGTTCTCAATCTCTCTCTCAGACTTTCTCAACACTAGAAAACAAATGGAAAATAAAAATGAATAAAAGATTCCAACAGATCTGAGCTAATTCATATTTATAGAATTCCCGCCTTTCTGGCGTGGTCACTATTTTTCACTATAGTAGCCACGCAAAGGCCTTTCTGATAATCTTCAGGACTGGAATGATCACTATTCTTCATGAAAGTAGCAATGCAGAGGTTCAAGGTTTGTGTGTGTTCACTTTCGTGAACAATAGGAGACACGCGCAACTTGCAGTGATGGAAGGCTCTCTAGAATGATCACTTTTGTGAACAAAAGTGATAACGTGTATCTTGCTTTGATAGAAGCTTCTCTGGAACGATCACTTTTGTGAGCAAAAGTGATAACGCGCACCTTACTATGCTTGAGAGCTCTCTAGAAAGATCACTATCATCAGCGATAGTGATAACGTCATTCTTCAATATTAGGCTCTAGAACAATCACTTTTGTTCACAAAAGTGATAATGCCTAACTCTTGCTTCACTAGACCTTGTTCCTTGATTTCAATTTTTGCTACTTTTTTTCTATCTTTCTCTTAATCTTCCAACCTTATGAATTTAACTCAGAATTTCCTACAAAAAAATGACTAAATCATTAATTTCTTCATAGAAAATTCATAAAATCTAAACAACTATGTATTTAGAAAAGACTTTGAATATTTTATTATTTTTATGAGTTTTCAGCTTTTTCTAACATGTATTCTTTATCAAATGTATTAAAACTAAGATAAAATACTGGTAAAATATAGATTTATCACTACGCGCAGTGCGCATAGCTATTTTGGTTTTAAAAGTGGCTACGCGTAGCACTGTAGCAATTTGGCCCTTGCTGTAGTTGTCACTATGAATTTCAAAGTCTTTTGTAATTTGGGGTCTCTGTAGTGTCCATTATCACTTTTGAAAGTGATCACTTTGGTCTGCCCTTTAGATCTAGCTTGCTGTAGTGTCCACTATCACTTTTGAAAGTGGTCACTTTTAACTCAAATTTTCTCAAACGCAAGAACACCCTGCACCAAACACTTAGCCAATTTTCAGTCTAGTTCCAAACACACACACACACACACACAGATATATATATATATATATATATATATATATATATTCTTATAGTTGTGTACTTATCCATACGTATTCATACACATCATCATTCAATATTCATCACGCACTTAAGTATATATATTCCAACATCCATTTATATATAATAATAATACTAATAATCAATATTACAAAAAGTCGGGGCGTTATAAAAAGAATAAGCTACGAATTCACTACACGCTCTCTTTGCTTTCTAGGAAGCTACTTTAGCAAGAAGTTGTGGTAAGTCTATTGATTCTAAGCAAAAAGTAACCCTCATCCGATACTAAGAAGGAAGTGGCTCGAATAGAGCAGTAGATCGAAGAGCAGATGCACTAAGAAATTCGAGCCTTTATACACTTACAGTCAAGTTCGCCTTCGATACTCCAAGCCTTGGGTACACCACCCTTCCTCACAAAATGACTTCTTGAGTCTTGCGCACGGGGGGGGAGGTATAGATGTTAGAGTCTTACTTCGAATACCCCATTATATCTATCTTTCAAAGAAAAGAAGCTCAACCATGAAAAGGAATGGAACCCCTAGTAATAAGGATGACTCTCAAAGGCTTGGTCCGTATTACATTAGTATGACTATGACTAGCTTTTTCTCCTCAATCAGGGGGAATGCCATTCTAAACATCTTTCGCAACCTTTCTTTCACAGGTGGCATCATTCTAGACCATATAACCTTGCCAACTAAAGCGGCCTACTTTATCGCAGTAAGGGCTTAAGTGATCGTAGTGACCTAACCTGGTTCCATCTAAAAGGGCCCTCGATCATCTATGTCGTCTTTGGAACTCCTTAAAGAGTTGAGTTAGTCACTCAAGTCCTTATTTATCCAAAATTTCCTAAACTTTTATAGGGATATTATTGGGTCAACTACTTTATCATTGTTCATCCTTTTAAGAGCTTCTTCTACTTTTTCAATTCAAATCTTATAGTAATATGACAAATTTTGATCATTTGTTGCACTTCTAATCCTACTAGATCTCTATTTGCTCCTTGTCCATCATTAAATAGTTCATAGAAAATTTTTCTTTCTTCATCCTTAATACATCTATCTTATCCAAATCTCTAAACTTTCTTTGTTTACTTTTGGCAAACTTATAAATCTTTCTTTCATCATACTTTGTCCCAACATCTTAATAGAATTCTTCAAAAGTCTTAGAATGTGTTTCATTCACAACTTTTTTTGTTTCAATTCTTGCATTCTAATATCCCGTCAAATTTTCAACATTGTTACATATATGCTAAGTTTTAAAACTCATCCTCTTCTTTCTAATCTTCTCTTACACATTTTCATTCCACTATCATGATTCCTTGTTTATGTTAAAAGTCATGATTCTTTGGACAAAATAAGAAATGATGAATGAAAAACATCTAACATAGTTTGGTTATATGTAAATAAGACTTTTAAAGACACTAGTGAAAAAAGTAAATATCATAACTTTTAGTCCAATAGAAAAAAGGTAAAAAGAGACCTCAAAGGATTTTAGAAGATATTAAAAGAGATTTTTTTTATTAACATTTCTAAAATTTTGACTTTTGATTGAGGTAGCTGACCTCGCCACGTATAATAAAACTTTGTTTTTGTGTACGTTATACCATCTAAACATATACTTACAAAAAGAGTTCGCACATTGAAAAAATAGAAGAGGAAATACTAAAAGACACATTAACGAGTATACCAAATCCATCAAACAGCCTATTGGAATAGCGCAAACACAAGAACAAGCGTTAGACAATCACTCAAGAGTTAACCAGATCAATGAAAAATTTTATGGTAATTCACTCCCTACAATTTATATCGGAACGAATGGCAAAATTCTTGCCTACCAATGACGTATAACTAGTTTTCCTTGTACAAAAAGAAAAAAAAAAATCAACCTGAAAGGCAAACTTAAGATAATGAACTGAGACCTGGCTCTTCCTATAACAGGTCCATCACAGTTCAAGAATATTAAAATCTCGTATTTGGTGGGTCAAAACTGCCCACCGTTCGGGTAAATTTATCATCACTAACCATCAGGTACATTTGGCCTGTAACAAAAAGCAGCTGTCGGCAAAAAATTGTCAACAACTAAAACTTTATTCAGCAATAGACTTGTTTGACAGAGTTAAAGTTTATAGAGAATCACACAAGAAAGAACATAAGAGTTTCTGGGTGTTGAGTGACAACCAAGCCAAAACACTTGAGGATTTTTATTACACTAGTTAAATCGATAACCAGAAATTGAACTCCTTCAAACAGATGATCGGGCAATGGCTCCAGCAGATGTAAGCATAGGCATCAGCTTCCCTTGACTGTGCAAGGCAGTTGTTGCTGCATAGAAGCATCAGGATCACGATAACAATTCAATATATTTTATGAAATTCAAAATCTAATGTGCAAGAAACTTTAACAGATTTGTGAAAATATCTGAATCTTACAGTCACAGCCACCAATGTGGTTTCCACCAATGAACACATTTGGCACAGTCCGCTGACTAGTCCATTCAGCTAATGCTGCTTGGATCTCACTTCCGTCAGCTGCACAATGTCCAAAACACTCAAATTAAGACACGAACAATTAAACAATGAACGAAATCATTGTATGAGAAAATGCAGGAGAAGCATAGTATTTTTTCCTAACACAAGGAAATCAAAATACTTGTAAATTTCATGCACTTGCAAATAGCTTCCCACAAAACAAAATTGAAATAATTATATTATTTGACTAAATTATACAACTGTAATTTCTTGTGACAAACCAATCCCTGATCAGTATGTTATTAATGTTTAATACCTACTTTATTAAAAACTATTACGGCATCATTTTGCGGTACTCTACAAGAAGCAATGCCTCTCTAACCTTCTACAAGGAAATAGAGAGTGTTTATCTTAAGGAAGATTAATAGAGTCTACTGAAAAATCATGCAGCTAAACATAAGACAGCTAGGCATATGAATATCTATGCTGAGCACACACACCAAAACTTGGTAGTACTGAACTGAGAGAGAGGAACAACAATGCTAAAATTCACCCTTATCAATAACAAAACACACAACCAAGTCATGTAATATCCGTTTCAAATAGTAAAGCTGCAATTTCAGTCCAATCATTAACAGCCTGGGAGTGACACGGCTGTAGTTCTGGACAATGACTTCATGAGAAATGAACATAGTACAAAACCATCACTCTGTAGTTGCAAAAGGAATTGACCGATTTCAAACAAATTTATTTATTCCTCCACTAATATTTTTACAACAGTAAGTCAGATACGTGAAATTCTAGTTCAAACTAGCAAAATTACTTCTAAACAACGTTTTTTAAAGCAGAATATTTACCCTAAATTGCTGTTATATTTCAAAACTGATTTTTATAATATTGTTGAAAATAAAGCTCCTTTTAGGCATAAACTGAGTTGGACTAGAAGAATTTTCTGTTCACTTTTTTTATTGGTGGAATCTATATGACCATATTCATTGACCAACTAGCACAATTAGAGTGGATTATATTTGTATGCTCTTTGGTCCCGTAAAAAAAAAAAGTAAAGGGAAACCAAAAAGAACTTCGAACGAAATCATTAAAAGGAATCTCATGACAAATAATAGGGTTGAATATCTTTTTAGTCCCTCAAAATATACTGTTTTGACTCTGGTGCCTACATATTTTTTTATTTCATTTTAGTTTCTAGTCAATGTTAAATGATGATGTAACTACTCAGATGTTATTATGTGTCAATTTCTATAACATGAAGCCACATCATTGAGAAGAACCAGAACTAACAATTTTTGAAAATGTAGGGACTTGAAAACATAATCTTGTAAGAGACTAAAATCAAAATTCAATATATTTTGAGGGACAAAAAAATACATTTCACCCTAAATAATATATCTGAAAATTTAAAATTAAAACATATTTTAAATTTGTCCAGTGTCTTATGATCCATGTAGAATAAGGCTTTGTTGTCTAAAATTTCACATTGCCAATCTCTAACGAGAGGGTGTACCAATAACGTTAAACATTTCCTTCTGACGAGAGGGTGTACCAACAATGTTTAACATTTCCCCCAGAAGGAGTGAAAAAATTTCAAAATAAACAGAACAATCAGATTTGTCAAGAATCAACTTAAAAAGTAATTAAGAATACAAAAAGACAAATAAGGACACCGGAACACACTCCGTGTCCAAAATTGAAAAATAAAAGAAAAAGAAAACCGTGCAAGTTCGATGGCCTTACGGTGAAAGCATTTTTAATATTAAATTATTCATATATTCCCCCCCCCCCCAAAAAAAAAAAGGAAAGGGTTACGAAAGGGCGGAAAAATGAAAAGCACTCACGTTCAGAGTTGATTTCGATGGCCTTGTAAGTGACACCCAATTTATCGAAGAGTTCCTTCACTTCGACGCAGAAAGGGCAATAGGTTTTGCTGCAAATAGAACAATAAACGACAGTTTACAGAAAAATAATCGAGTCAGTTCTCTGAATCGTACGAATTCATATAACAGAGAACGACAGATATAAACCTGAAAACGACGACGGGATTGGCAGAGACCGTCTCCTTAGCTTTCGCCAACGCCATCTTTGATCTCTCTGTTTTAGTTTCAGCGTTATTTTATAATCCAAAACTGAGATCTTCAAGTTGTTGCAAATAATAAACGTTTATTAAAAAATTATTTATTACGATTTTATAATTTCAATATCATAAATATATATAAAAATTTTGTAAGTCGCCTATATTTTTTATTTTTTTATTAAGAAAACCTTAATAAGTCGTCTCTGATACAGCTTTTATGTAAATAAATATAATTGTATTACTTATTTATAAATTATAAAATATTTTACTTAAGTATAATTTATGTATTAAATAAAATTATAACATGTTTTAATTTCATTAAAAAATAATTTTTTTTAACAAAATAAGATAGGATACAACTGTCAAAATATGAACTAAAAAAATTAACCATTAATGCTGAGAATTATACCGTTATTTAAGTTGGATATAATAGGTGAGTCTATTATCGGAGATTTTTTACATATATAAATTTTTGAATCCGAAACTTTAGTTAAGGGATATCAAGCCATTTATCACTTGGAATAACTTCGTTAGTAAGATTTGTCCTTTTTTACTATTGCAGTTTGATTTTGTATAATTTTTTACTTAATTAAGTTTTAGAGAATATTAACATTTATTAAGATAATTTTAATAATTAAAAAATATTCAATTTTATTTAAAAATTATAATTTTTCAATATAATAAAAAATGATTTTAAATATAAAAAATACTATGTTAATTATTGAATAAATTTTAAAAGTAAAAATTGTTTTAAACAATTAAAAATTAAAATCAAGAATATCAAAATTATACATAAGTATGAGTACTAAAAATTTACAACTAAATCTAATTTAAAATTATTATAAAAATATGACATTCTTATCCCTAAAAATATTTTTAAAATCAAAATATTCTATTTATATTTTAAAAGGTATATAGTCATCACTAAAAATAATTTTTTAAGCATATTCATTTAATAAAAATATTTTAAAAGATTAAAATGAAATTATTTTTTTAGAAAAAATAATTAATATTTTTCAAAAATAAAAATTTAAATTTAAAATGTTTCTTAAAAAAAATAAACTTAAGCTCTCATTCTTAAGTGTTAAGATGTTTGATATTTTTTTCATTGTAATACTTAATTTCATTATTATTAAACATTTAATTTATATTTTTAAAATTTTAAAATAATTCATTACTTTTAAATTTTATTTTTATATTGATTTCTTTTATATAAAGTTTTAATTTTAAAAATTATTATTTCTCCTTAATTGACTTATATTTTAAATTTATACTAAAAAAATACTTGTGATATATATATATATATATATATATATATATATAATATTGCTTTTTGTATTAATTAGGAACATAGAAATAAATTTGTGTTAAAATGATCAACAGGAAGGAACTTTTTTTACTTATTTTGTTTATCTTGGACAAGCCATCAAAATAGTGAGGAATTGAGCTTAATAAAACATATTCATGATTATTATAATTTACTCTCCTTTTCTTTGATTTAAATGACTTCTTTGTTCATGTAAACTCTAAAATTTGCTATGCAATCTTATTGAGATGAAATAAAACTAGTTAAACAAAAAAAATTATTACGATAATTATGTATATAAGATTAATTGATAAATTCAGATTTTACTATATTTTTAATTAGTTTTCTACATTATTCTTTTATAAAAAAAAGTAATTTGGAAGGTGAAAACTACACAAAAACATATAATTGTTCAATAAAGTCAATTTTTGTCTTTAGCAACTCAAATTGTTTGGATTTTAATAGAATTATGATATAATTTTGTTGGTGAACTAGTTTTGTAGGAGATTCTACGCAAAAACACGAGTTAAAGGCATTAAGAGGTCAATTGGACTGAGCGTTGTCACTTTTGGCACAAAAAGTAAACACTTTAAATGTTTAGAATTCAATTGAAAATTGCACGTAGCCACTTTTGGATCCAAAAGTAATTACTTTGAAGGCTATATGGAGAGAAAAGTCATGCATGTAGCCACTTTTGCAAGCAAAAGTAGCCACTCTAAAAGCTTATTGTCAGGACCTCAAGGATCAATAACATCATACATCTATATCTATCTGTCTATATATATATATAGTACAGAAGATATAATTCACATTTAATTTGAAATAAATTTTTAGAAATTAAATTCAACATCTCAACAAAATAATAAAGTCCCAAGGCTTTTTCATATAATCCAAAAGTTTATATAAGTACATGTTTTTACAACGGTTGCTCTATATAGAGCTCAAAAACTCCTTGTTAAGACCTAGACTAAAAAAATGACAAAAGCTACAATTCTTTTAAAAAGCATGATGACTCCAAACATCCCTAAGCTAAACCTTCTAGCATGGGAAGTAGATGTATTACCTATCACACCTGCTCACGTATCACCATACAATCATTGCAAATACAATCATTGCAACACACACATCAACATAGGAAAATGCAAGGGGGAGCTTACACATCAAACAAGCATAATCAAAATATTAATACAACTGTAATATATTTATCTACACAACTTAATATATTAGCAATTTTCAGCAGATTAATACAACAGTTCAGCCCATTCTCAGTTCATCTAATGCAAATGTAATGTTTCAATTTCAATTAGTTTCACAACCTAAGTAATCCAAAATGAACTGTTTCTGGTCTAGGAGCGACTGATGAATCCATATTTTGTTAATATTTTACTTATCTTTTTAATGAAAAGTGAAGTTAGAAAATGTAAATACCATAAAAATTTTAATTATGCCATTTATACTAACTTTCTTGTTTTTGGCCAATTTACATTAATTTTGTAATTATCGTTTGTAATTTTGCTCACTAAAATAATTATGCAGGAATTTTCCGGATTTAAGCTCTTGAGAGAAAATTAGGTGAAAGTACTTACTTCCAATACCCAAAGTAATTACTCCAGCAAGCTGCCCCTAAGAGTCAAGTGAAAGTAATTACTTTCGATACTGAAAGTAATCACTTCAAAGCCAATTCAGAGAAGTGAGGCTGTGCATGTTTACTATCACTGATGATAGTGAACACTACAGAGAGCAATTCAAGAAGAGAAGTTGCACATAATCACTTTCACTACCCATAGTGATTATGTGAAAGTGATTATGCGTAGGCCTATCTAGCCAACAAAGCTGCGCATTTTTATTTTCACTAGTCATAGTAGTTAGGTGCTTTGTTAGTAATCACTTTCATTAGTGAAAGTGAACACTATAGAGAAAAAAGTGCATGGAACTACTGTAACACTCCGAATTTTGTAATATAGTTTGATTATTAATATAAGTGTTTACGTGGACTTTCATGCGTTGTGTATTTATTATGTATATATATATAAATAGATATAGTTATATGTTGAAATGAGGATATATGCATATGTGGTGATGTAGACTTGCATGAGTGTGTGGATGGTTGGAATTGGACTAAAAATTTTGACTAAGTGTTTGGTGTAGGGTATTCTCGCTGCAGCAAGAGATGTCTCGCTGTAGCGAGAGCGCCTTGGGAGGAAGGCGTGAAACTGTCCCCTTGTCGCTACAGCGACAAAGCAACAGTTTAGGGTGCATTTCTTGATGTAGCGAAAGGGTCTCGTTGTAGTGAGAATCTACAAAATCAGTGTACAATTTTCTCTGATATTTTCGCTGCAGCGACAAGGGGCATCGCTGCGGCAAGAGTGTCTCGCTGTAGTGAGAGTGTCGCGAGTAGAGGGGTATTTGAAGGGGTTAAGGTTGGAGAAATTCATTTCGCATCTTTCCTCTTCAAAATCTCTTCGATTCCCTCGACCAAAAACCCTTTTCCACCTATTAAATTGCTTCCAAAGCCGTTCGTGAACTAGATTAAAGGTTGGATTCATGTCGGGAACGCTTGGAGGTGAGTTTTCATGGTTAGGGTTTACGATTTCTCATCCCTACTCGCTGTTTTCTCGGTTCTCCTTGAGTTCTCATGGTGTTTCCATGTGTTTTAGGGATGAAATTCGTGTGGGGGTTGATAAGTCCGTAATTAGGCCCTATTTTATAGCCCATATATTCATATTTGACCTTTATTTTATTTGGATTTTACACTAATTTATATATTAATTGTGCAATTTAGTATAAAGAGGCCACAAGTGGATGTTGGGTGCATTTTATGCCCAAATTGATAGAAGATTAGAGCTTCACAATAGTTAGCACGCCCAGACCGTTTCAACAAGCACAAGGGTGCTTCGAGCTCATGCACAGTCGTGCTTAAGGCCTTGCACAGCCGTCCTCATCTGCGAGAAACCCAATTATGAAGAATCTTTAGGGTTTTCAAACCCTAGTAAAAGGAGATCTCAGGCATCGTAAAAGGACCATTTTTTACATCTAGTCTTTGGCTTTCTGATACACTTTTGATCTCATCTCTCTTGCATGAGATCCTTGGCACATGCTTGGCGAGACTTGGAGCTTCAAGCGATCGCACTTGAAGACCGGGAACACATCTCATAGTCTAGTTTGCTATTTCTTTTTATTATGGCTTTGTTTATGATTGTTTTAGTTCTTTTCTTTAGCATGAGTAACTAAGTTCATAACTAGGGCTATGGGAACTATTATTCATGAATTTATGGAATTTTGATATTTGAATCTAAATTTGATTTCCGTTTTGTGATTAGATTTTATCCTATTGCGCTTCTTTCTTATTCCTAATTAATTATATCGTCAGGCGACCGTACCTCGGTTAATTAATAGATTTATAGGGTAAAACGAGACAAAGGATTAGCTGGACCAAACCAATATTTCTCTTCTAATCATTATTAAATTAACAAGTTCATAGGTTTCTTAAGCTTTCTTAAATTGATGTCTTGCATGACCATTGGGAATGTTAATTTAGAGAAAAAAATATTAATATTGCATGATCATTGGGTATTAATACTATTCGTATGAATGATTAGTAATCACAAAGAAATCAAATTTAGAGTTAAATAGAAAAATAACATAAAGGATTGAATGAGAAAACTCATATGCCCTAGGTTCCTCTCCGATAAGTTTAACCAAGACGTGCATTATATTCCTTGCTCTTAGTTTTATAATTGATTTTATAAATTCTTATT